TCAGGTATTCAGAATGAAGCATCTCAGCTATGTCGTTTACAGACAGAAGTAAAATGTTTTTGAAAATTGGATTTCGATTCTATCTCACAAAAAATCTTAGCTTCATGATAGTTTAATTCCAGAACTTAGATGAAAGGATAAAATAGACTTCTTTATCGACAGTTCTTTCAAAATAAAAATTGGAGGGGACGGGGTTCAAGTCTTCTTAATTAATCAAAATGTAGTTGTAGCTTTAATAACTAAATAATTATAAAATTTTTATTCGGCTGCCATAGCAACAATGTACCGGAATCTGCATCTGCAATGAAAATAATAACGACTTAAACTTTTTTCTTTCTCTTGTAAGGAAAACTACATAAATGCTAAGACAGTGAATAGCAAGATATATAATAAACCATCAAGGAGCTATGTATTATTAGATATGCTTTCTTATGTTCATCTGTTATCTTATTGGTGATACATTTTGTACAGGTACCCTGACATAGTGATTAAATCAAAGATCTGTTAATGCAGAGTAAAAAGAAAAATCAAACAGCATGATCAATAAACTGAGGGCATGTAGATGAAAGGGATGTAAGAAAACTTTCAACAACACATATATCTTGTTTATGACGTTCTAAGACAGTTGTATAAAAAAAACTAGGAATAAACATTTGATGAGACACTATTGGGGTCCTAATAGGCAGGTATATCTTGCTTGATTTATATGTACCGGTATATATTCATGCAGATGTTCATATTTCCCTAACAACGTGAAACAATGAGATTTACTCCAAAAACTTGATGTTCATGCTGCAATCTGATTAAGGAATGTTATAAATTTTCGTTACTTTATTTTTCTAAATAACAGCTAGCAATGCAATGGTGGTATAATTTAAACCATTTTGTCTTTTATCGCATGATCTAAATAGACATTCAATAACAGGTGCCCCGATTACGTTACGTGACTTTACATCGACGTTTTCTCATTATGACGATTACCGCCACAAGCCTGGAAATGTCATGGCGGATCACATAAGTCGTAGACTTGGGTCTTGTTGTGACTCATTTTGAGGTGGGGGTATATACGACAAAATATAGAGTCTACTTTCGGAATGATTCATACGCGGTTCCATGTAAGGACTTCCGGTGAAATGGGGGGAGGGGGGGGGGGGCGTGACCATATATGGTATCCAGACCATATTTGTGAACGCCTAACGCCTATTTTGCATAAAACTGAGCACACCCTACTACTCACATATGATCTCTTCATTTTTTTATCGACCTAATTCTACATATGTCACATATACGGAATTTTGTAAGTAACTGACGACTTTTACATTTTTTTGTAACTCTTTAGTATATTTCTTATCTTAATTAATCTCGGTTATCAACGTAAAAAAGGAATGACCAAAAAGTAAAATAGCAAAAATACCGAACTCAAAGGAAAATTAAAAACGGAAAGTCCTTTACCAAATGGCAAAATCAAAATCTCAAACACATCTTACGAAAGGAAAATTACTGTCATATTCCTGACTTGAACCTGGTTTTATAGCAAGCTAAACCTCTCACTTTTATGAAAGTCGCATAGAATTCCATTATATTAACAACAATGTGTGAGCAAAGCAAACAGACATAATAGGTTAAATTGTCAAATATTGGGTAACAGCAATCAACATTGTGTTATAGTCTTATTCACTATAAAAACAAATAACTATTTCAACAAGGAAAATGAAAATATCATATAGACACTCTATAGACAAAGTACATTAGCAAAAATGAAAGACAAGAAAACAAAAAAAGACCACAGCACAATAACACAATGGCGGGATGTATAAATACCGAGCCACGCCAAAAATATATTACCAAAAATGGACTGGACTAAACAGTAAAGTTAAAAATATACAAAGACAATATTTTTACTGATAGATGTTCAAAATTGGTCAAAAAAATTTTCCCTCTGAAACTAATGAGCCAGTTTGAACTGTAGGCTATAGTTTTAAAAAATGTATCCGATGATCCCGCCTGTCAATGAACATGGATGCCAAGCTGAAAATAGAATATGGAGGTTAAACGAAAGTATTGTTCATTATATTTAAAACCGTTGTAGATACAGAAAATCAAAAAGAGACAGACATTATCTGAATAAACAAGATCTACCGATATTTAACTTTTACCAAAAACTGCCAGACAACTCCTAATGTAATTATTGTGCTTCAATGACGACTTTTACATTTTCATTTTCTATAAATCTATAATAAATAAAGTGAAACTATAAATAACAAAAATGATCAGCATGTCAAGATCGTCTGATTTTATTGTTTGAATCAAAATCTTCAGTAGATTCATTATAGGATTAATTACTCTTGAAAGACAATTGGTACCCATTTGTGTTTTTTGTGCGGAAACTGACATAGTAAATAGAGAAAAAAAAAAATATTCACAGCAAAGATCACCAGAACAAGATCTATAAATAAGTCAAATAGACTAAATCTTCAAATGACTCTTTATAGAAATTATTGTCCTAGAACAAAAATCTTTACCCATTTGTTACTATTTTAAGTAACTATCACAATACCATAAACGGTACCAATTGTTCTGTACCAGATGTGCATTTCGACAATCAATGTCTCTTCAGTGATGCTCGAGGCCAAAATATTTGAAAATCCAAAGCTTATTAAAAAGGCGAAGAGCTATAAACCAAAATGGACAAAAAGTATAGCAAAAGCTGGGCAAGAAATCAGAGCTTTGCATGAGGGAGATATATTCCTCTATTTAAAAAGATTTCTTAAATTTTATAACAGCAAATTTTAATAACACAAAATCCGTATTTTCATGCCAGCACCGAAGTATCGGCTACTGGGCTGGTGATACCCTTGGGGACTAACAGTCCACTAGCAGAGGCATCGACCCAGTTGTAGTAATAACATAAACGGTACTATTTTTCTGCACCAGATGCTCATTTCGACAATCAATGTCTCGTCAGTGATGCTCGAGGCCAAAATATTTGAAAATCCAAAGCTTATTCAAAAGATGAAGAGCTATAAACCAAAAAAGGACAACAAGTATAGCCAAAGCCGGGCAAAGAATCTGAGCTTGGCATGAGAGAGATATATTCCTGTATTTAAAATAATTTCCAAAATTTTGTAACAGCCAATTTTTATAACACAAATGTTTTTAATGCATTGTATCAATATCCCAATATACCAGGTAAGCTGTACATGCTACTTGGAGCCTGTAGTAGTGTTATTTGTGGAAACAATAGTAGATAGAGAATAAATGTAAACATAAAAATGATCAGTAGGACAAGATCTACTATTAAGTCGACATAGCCAAAATCGTCAGTCGACTATTCAGTCGAGGATTACGCCATGAAACGGGGTACCTCCGAAAAAGAAGACGTAGACTCTTTCCGAATTGGTCAAGGCTTTGAGGTCGTTGAATTAGAATTGAATGGGTCTATAAACACTCATGCTTCATCTATCATCAAAGACCAAAACGTTGCTAAACATTTGTCTGATCTCCATGACAAACATGTTGCTGTCCCTGCAGATAATGTCTCGAATATTATTGTTTTTGTGTGTAAATCACATTACATAAACTGCTTGATAACGAAATTAGTAATTGGCAATTCATTTGGAGTATCAACATATACGCCCACGACACCTACCAAAGAAGAAATTCTGATCAGGCAGAGGTTGGTCTGTCCTGTTTTCCTTTTGAATTTCTACCAAAGATCAAGAACTTGTTCTTCATTCACTGTACTGGATACCCAAATTACAGGAGTGTCATTTCACACAACGTTATATTGCTGGTTCTGTCAAGCAATCTACGAAATATATTTGCAAACTATATATAGCTATTCAAATCAATTTTACTGCAATCAAAACCGGGTTTCAGAGTTACTGTGAAACTACATATTCCAAGGGCGGTGTAAATTTTGAAAATCGAAAGATCTGTTATTATATTTACAATCTCAGGCTCTTTACTCTTGCAATAGAATAAAAAAATGTCTTTACTACATTTTACACTAGTATACCCAACTCTAAACTTAAAGACTGACGGAACTTATTAAAAAAAAAAAATAGTCAACGTAGATACTTATACATTGTTTAAGGAAGGGATACATCATTCTTTGTAAAAAATAAATCACTCTAATTCAAACAATATATTGTGTGAAACTGACATCATCTGAAAAGAAATTGGACTGCGATCACATTGTTGATTATAATACAATTATCGATTAAAAAGAACCGTAGACAATTATCTTGGCAATTTGTTTTACTGGTAATTTATAAAGTCTGATAAATATTATCTAATAAAAAACAGAAGTTTACTGGTAATTTTTGTTCTCTTAAGTAATTTTGGTCTAATGCCAGGGAAATCCCTATCACCCCTTTTGTATTCATTTCACGTCGATAACACGGCAATTGAATTTATGAGTTAGTAATATTTAATTTGTATTTGATTATGCATGCTAAGATACAGTTTTACTCAATAAAAAATTTCCTGATTTACAAATAACCTATTGATTATGTTAGCACGTATTCAAGAGCGTGGATATAACATGCATATAAACGCTTTGATAACAAAAATTGTAATTTTTAGAAGCGAAATGTTATGAAGTTTGGGGACACTACAAAGCAGACGACTGAGACATTGAAAAATTTGTGTATCTTTTATTCCAATTTTCGTCAGTTTTAGTTGTTTTAATTGATATTGGTCGGACAATGCGGAATAACTCAGATCTATATTGGTAAAAACTCTATGTGTTTTACTACTAGGGTTGTTCCTCGCTTTGTTACAGGTAAAAAAAAAATGAAATTGGATACCTCTACCTCAAAATGTGTGTAAAGATGTGGAATGATTAACTTTGAGTAGTCAGTATGTATGTTTTATGATTAATACTATATATTAACACCATTTTGCTATTGTGTTTGCAATCTTTAAAATTTTAGTTGTAAATAAAGGCAACAGTAGTATACCGATTTCAATAGTCATATTAACCTAAAACAAAACAAAACATTTTGGACTTTTTATTTCATAAAGCAATTACGAGAAAAAAATATTGTTTATTAAACATGTGGTCAATTCTGAAATACAGCCTTTATTCTAAATTGTTTTTTGCGGGGAGTGTGTTCAGTTTAACAAGTTTTTCTTAGCTAGCTTGAAGCTCAGAGACGGGTCAGGTAACAATCTGAATATAGTCAAGGTAATATGAGTCTGCATATGTTTCTATAGAAATCTTGTGATTCATTGAACATTTGAATTCGTTTTTTTCTTGTACATACAAAATTCACGAAAATTGATATCCAACGAATAATAATGAATCCACAGTACCTTGAATCATGCGAATAATTGGACATACTCCAGGGAATATCCATGCCATATTACCGTATTCCTAATCTGTTTGTGTACAGTGTATTTGATGGTTACTCCAGAAACATTTGTTCGCATAGAAATCAAATACAATTTTTACATTCTGAATATGCATCTTATAAAAGCAGCTGGTTATCATGCATCTGTTAATCGACAAATTCAACTAGATTGATTGAAATGATTCAGTCTTTTTTTTCCATGTAAGATAATGCAAAACTTTATTATTTTAGACAGAAAAAATAAAACGATACGAATCACTAATATGCTAGCCAGAAATATAGATATTTTTCAGTGTTGTAAGTGTCATATCGCCAATTTAAACCCCATTCATATTCCACATTTTTTTATTCTGCTATTTGCACAGCTCTTTCAATATTTTCCTTGAAGTTTATTTTCATAAAAACCAGGTATATCTTGATTACAATATCTTTATATATGCTAATTTTCAACAATTTTTTTTATTCCAACGTTGCCGATACGAAAATCTCTTCTGGCGTACCAAATTATAAGCTTGGTATCTTTAATTTTTTTTATATAGCGTTCTAGAAGTCAGCTACTACTAAAAATTATTAATAAAGAAATGTTATTTTTAAACATTTATTTATACTAGTTGTCCAAATGGTTAGAAATTTCATTTAGATCGTAGTGTTGATTATAGTTACAGATCGTTCATTTGAAAATATTGTAAATTTCTGTCGTTTAATTGTAGAAACCGGAAGATTAAAACAGGTGTGACAAACATTTAAATTTGAATGTAATAAATAAATCATCAATAATTGAATGTATTCATATCAGTAACATAGATATCAAAAAAATATACTGTGCTGCAATACACTCAGTTATATGTAAACAATTTCTTGCAATATTTATCCCCATATTACACGTGTACAATAGTGTATCTAGATTATGCACTAGTTTTTAGTATCCTTACTTTTAACAATAACAAAAAAAAACATACCGGGAAAACTATTTGAAATTAACAAAATAAACAAAAATTAATAGGAAACGTTAACACATACATAGTACATTTCCCATTTTGTTGACGCCTGTACCTTAAAACTACATCAAAAGAACCAAAGTCGAAGCTTTTGCCAAGCCATTTGTACTGCATCCTTCTCGACTGGCCATTGAATTAAAAGTGCATCTTTCCAAATGGTAGAAAATTCCATCGGAATAGTATCCAAAGGAATATCTCTTGTAATAACTACAATCCTCTGCAGATTTTTGGAAAACTTTTCATACTTTGCTCGCTCGATTTCAAACCTTGTCCATTCATTTTTAACAATTGACGGCGTTACTAGAAATATTATGTGTCTACATCTGTTTATTGACGTAGCTCTTTCGGTAGCAATCGATTCGCCTACAATGAAATCTCTATCTTCAAAGCATATTTTGAAACCCCATTCGTCCTCTACTTTCTCTTGCAATTCTTTCACAAAAGAAACGCAGTCATCGGAATATGAAACGTAAACGTCATAATCAAATGTTAGCTTCAGCTCTTTCTCAGCAAATCTTCGGAAATTTCGAAAGAAAAAGAACATTATCCTCCATCTGAAATTGTATAATAGAGCAATACAAAGCACACTCGATAAAACAGAAACCAATAATGAAATGCCTAATTTGATCCAAATGGTAGTATCACAGTCAACGAAATAATGATGAAAGTCTTCAGCGACATTTCTTGTATAGTTGATGCCTTTTCTTGAAGAAACCCAGCAAGAGTAATTACCATTATTATCTAGGTTTACTTTAGTTGTCAAAATCCAACGTAGAAATTTCGTCGCGTCACACGAACAAATAAGCGGGTTATTATGTAGATATAATTTAAAACTTCCATGTTTTTTATGCTGGGAATCAATCCAATCTAGTATATTCTTTCCAATTGTTGTTAATTGATTGTATGACAAATCGAGTTCGACAATGCTATAAAAGGTTGTAACAACATCTGGAATAGTCTCAAATAAATTATGAGATAGATTGAGTTGTTTTAGATGAAGAAGTTGCCCAAACGAATTTGCTTTGATTTTCCAGATATAATTATATGATATATCCAAATTCATTATATTTGGACAAAAACATAATATTGTTGTATTGGTTTGTAAAACATTGAACAATTGTGTTTCTTTTAAGATGATTGTTTTCAGATGAATTAAAACCGAAATTTTTCTCTCTCCAATAGTTAGAACAGAACTGATACCTGACAGATCCAAATGCTCCAAACTATTGAATCCTTCAAAAGTCAAAAGTGGAAATACATCTGTTTCAAAATAGGATATTTCAAGGTGACGAAGGGAGCTGTTTATTGTTTTTATTTCCCTAAAGGCATTTTTAGCCATAAGATGCGTCATTCTCAAAAAAAGGATTTGACTCGGAAATGTTACTGTAATTGGAATAACCTTTCTTCTCCAATGGCCTTGAACTTTTTCAATGCTTGTATAGTTATCTTTTGTTACTATGTCGAGGAAAATTGGGTTTTTGAATCGTAAAGGAAAATATGAAAAATCAATTATTTTAATATTGGTCATCGTGTATAAAAATTTGAAGAAATAACCTGCCCAGTTATCCAAACTAAATCTATTAGCAGATAACATAACATTTTCAAAGCACTCTGGATGTTCAAACTGAACAAACGATTTGTTTTTAACTAATATAATGTCATTGTCAGAGAAGTCTAATGTTTTTATACAAATAGTTGATATATATTTCATCATCTCTGGTGTAAGAATAACTGAATCTAAGCCTTGTTTAGAAACAGGATGAGATATTCCGCGAAGTAGTAGCGCATCCATTGATTTCTTCTGAAATGGATGTAAAATGTTAAGAGCCTGTGTTAAGTGAATATTGCTGTTCGTAAGATTCAGCAATTTTAGATGTGGAAATGGAACTAAAACACCACCTTCAATAACAACAAAGTCTTTACAAGTTGTCATGTGGAATTCCTTTATATGTATCGGCATTTCTGAGAATGTTGTATTGTATAGATAGTTTACGTGGCAATAATCAAATTTCAATATATGTAAATTGTGCAGTTTCTTGAACTGCTGTCCAAACGTTGCATTTAATACAAGATCGATGCTCAGCTCACGTAAGTTACTGAGTCCGCCGACGGGAATTTTGTACGGGCTGTAGTTTAGAGTTTTTATATTTCTACTTATGTCTAAAACTGATAAATTCTGTAAGGATTCAAATACTTCACGATGATACGATTTAGATACATCCAGATTATTTTTAGACAAAGACAAATGTCTCAATAATGATAAGCCATGAAAAGCCTTAGAATACAACATTCTGATGCCATTATGATCAATTATTAGATCTTCTAGATACTTATATCTGTAGAATCCGTCTGAATCGAGTCTGGTCAGTCTATTGAAACTTAAATCCAATTTCGTTATATCGGGTGGTAAATTCATCGGAACCGAAGTAAATCCTTGGTATTTACACATAGCCTCCTTATGGCCCAGCATATTAATAGTTATATTGCATTTTGCAAACACAGTTCTATATGGGCAAACAAATGTAATACACAAAACTATGAAGATAAACATATTACCCAATAATTAGAAAAAGCGATAAACATTTATAATCCAAAGTTTAATACTTCCTGCTATGTTTGAATATATAGTTACTTCACCAATCTCATATTACTGTAATCATCATCCGGAAACACAATTTAGAACGTCGATTACGTGAATAAACTTTTAAATGATCACCTGTTTAAATAAATGCCTGTATGTTTGTTCATCTAAGAATATAGAATGGTTGTTTTTACTTATCACCAAGGGGCAAGTAGAAATTCAATACCTTTGTTCTGCAAGATATATTGACTTGCAGAATTTTAAATACCATTGGAAAATGAAGGTATGTTGGAAGGAGTTATACAACCATTGATTTCCCCCTATTAGTTTTTATTAAATTGGCATTTTTCAAAATTGTGAAAAATTTATCTTTGTTTCAAATAAAGAAATACTTGGCATGAGTAAAGTTTATCCTGTCTAGTACTACAGTGTAAATCTCACATAACATGCCATTGCATATAAGATAATAACCATCACCGGAAGTAACCCAATCAAATTGTAACCCACTTTTTCGTATGAAACGGGATGTGACGTACTATGATTTTGTGGTATTAGACATGGAAAGGGACAGAAATTGTGCTTTGCAACATGTCAACTACGGACTCCTTAAAGAATTTGAACCTCCTTATTACGTCATGGCGTGGTTATGTATTTATATGAGAATGTTTATATTTGTTTGCCCCAGTCAACACTTATGTATTTGTGTATACATCCCATAGAGCCAACCAAATGGATACCTCACTTTTTCAAGGATGTGTTATGACCAGAGTGGAGACAGGAATGACTATTATTTTATACCTCAGTCTTATTCTTTTTCTTTACGGAGATTTGGATTATCAGTTATGGATCCACTTTTTGTTTTACTTTTGATACTGGTTAGCACACCAAATAGTAGTAAAAACCTACCTATATAGGTTTTGAGTTATTTCCCTTTGTCCGACAAGCATAATCTAAATGTACTTCAGCGCGGAAACACTAAAATTAATTATCAAACATATATCTCATCAGTATCAAACATTTACAAAAAGAAGGTATTTGAGTTGGTTGCTACAATACAGTCAATTATATGCAATTCTTTTTTCAGTAAAGCATTCGAAAAAACATATTAAAATAAAGTGATATGTACGATGGAAACACGCGTACATAAGTGTATCACGCGTGGTACACTAAACATGTGTTGAAATTTGTTCCTTTACACACCCTCAAAAGAACCAATGTCTAAGCTTTTGCCAACCATTTGGACATCATTCCTTTTCGACTGGCAATTGGATTAAAAGAACATCTTTCCAAACGGTGGAAAACTCCATCGATATATTATCAAAAGGGTTATCTCTTGTAATAACAACATTCTTCTGCCGATTTTTTGAAATCTTTTAATACTTTGCTCGCTCGATTTCAAAACGAGTCTATTCATTTTTAACAATTTACGACGTTACTAGAAATATTATGTGTCTGCATCTGTTAATGGACGTAGCTCTTTCATTTGCAATCGATTCGCCTACAATGAAATCTCTATCTTCAAAGCAGACTTTTAATCCCCTTTCCTCCTCTACTTTCTCTTGTGATTTTTTCACAAAAAACACGCAGTAATCGGAAGACGAAACGTAATTGTCATAATCATAAATTTGCGCGAGACCTTTCTCAGCAAATCTTCGGAAATTTTGAAAGAAAAAGAAAATTATCCTCCATCTGAAATTGTATAATAGGGCAATACAAATCACACTCGATAAAGCAGAAACCAATAATGAAATTCGCCAAATTTGATCCAGACGGTAGTATCACTATCAACGAAAAAATGATGAAGTCTTTAGCGACATTTCTTGTATAGTTGATACTTTTTCTTGAAGATACCGAACACGTTTAATAACCATTAATATTAATTTTACTTTCAGTCATCAAATGAGTTATTCTCAAAAACAGAATGTGACTCGAAAGTAATACTGTCACTGGAGTAGCCTGTCTTGTCCATTTACTTGTTCAACTCTTGTATATTTATTAGTAGTCTTTGTTAATTCGACATGGAAAATTAGATTTTTGAATTCTAACGGAACAGGGGCCAAAAAACACATTTTTCTTGTTTCCAGACAATAACTTGTGTTCAAGTGTATGGATCTCTCTGAAATTGTACTGCAAGGTACCATACCACTAAGGGAAGGCTGGGATTGAGTTTGGGGTGATGAATCATAAGGGGGTTTAAAAAATTTGGGGGGGGGATTTTTTTTTTTCCTTTTTTTTTCTTTTAAAATTTTCCATTTTAAGTTGGTTATTTCTGATTTATATTTAAAATCAAATAATAATGATATGGTAGGAGATACACACCAAACAGGAGGTGTAAATTATTATATAATAAGTATTGTGCAATAGCAAGAAATTTTCAATTGCACAGTATTGCACAATAGCAAGAAATCTTCAATTGCACAGTATTGCGCAATAGCAAGAAATCTTCAATTGCACAGTATTGCGCAATAGCAAGAAATATCCAATAGCACAATATTGCGCAAAAGCAAGAAATTGTCAATTGTACAGTATTGCGCAATAGCAAGAAATATTTAATTGCACAGTATTGTGCAAAAGAAGATACTTCGTATAAATTGCTTATTTCTTGACCAATTTCAATGGGGTTTTATTCTTGAATTCTTAGGGTTCTTTAATATGCTGAATCTAACCGTGTATTTAGTTTTTGGATTTTGGGCATCGTTTTTAAATTGGTCCACATTGAGGTCCAAAGGGTCCAAAATTAAACTTTGTTTGATTTCATCAAAAATTGAATTATTGGGGTTCTTTGATATGCCGAATCTAACCGTGTATTTAGATTCTTAATTTTTGGTTCCGTTTTCAAATTGGTCTACATTAAGGTCCAAAGGGTCCAAAATTAAACTTAGTTTGATTTTAACAATAATTGAATTCTTAGGGTTCTTTGATATGCTGAATCTAAACATGTATTTAGATTTTTGATTATGGTCCCAGTTTTCAAGTTGGTCCAAATTGGGGTCCAAAATTAAACTTTGTTTGATTTCAACAAAAATTGAATATATGGGGTTCTTTGATATGCTGAATCTAACCATGTATTTAGATTTTGGATATTGGACCATAATAGGTGAATGTCCAATTTAAAATTTTTAAGTTCTTAGACCACATTTATTCTGTGTCAGAAACCTATGCTGTGTCAAATATTTAATCACAATCCAAATGCAAAGCTGTATCAAGCTTGAATGTTGTGTCCATACTTGCCCCAACTGTTCAGGGTTCGACCTCTGCGGTCGTATCAAGCTGCGCCCTGCGGAGCATTTTATTTTAAATGGCGGGAAAAGGCTGACTCGGACTTTTAACTTATATTTGCATTGGTATTATTTGGGTCTCAAATCAAAAGAAAAGAAATTTAGAATCTGCTTAAATTTTAGGAAATGACGTTTTATGAGCTATTGAAGTCTTATATGAAAAGAAAAATGGGTGTTATGGGGCAAAATATTTTACCCTGTATTTTAGGAAAAAAACAAGGAGTCGGAATAGCTGACAAAAATTCCTAAACCTGACCTTAGTACATCCTTAATTACAAAATTTATTACAGCTATTTTTGCATAACTGAGGTTCTGAATTTTTTAGTTTTGTGATTGAATCACTAGACATAATGTTTCTGTGGTTAAATATGTTATCTTGTTGATGCTATATACATTGTCATACATATTTGTCGTCCTTCATCGCCAGTTTACTTTTAAAAAAGATCATCTCCTCTGAAACTACTGGGCCATATTTAACCAAACTTTGCCACAATCATCAATGGGGATATATTTAAAAAAATGTCCAATGATCCAGCTTGGCGGCTAGAAATAGAACATAGGAGTAAAATACAATTTTTGATTATTAGTCCCCTACCAACGAAGTCGAAGGGGACTTTAGGTTTGCACTCCGTCCGTCTGTCTGTCTGTCTGTCTGTCCGCCTGTTCGTCTGTCTGTATGTCCTTCTGTCAGTCCGGCAAATCAGCTTTCCACACTTTTTTTCTTCGTTTTTGAAGATATTGATTTGATATTTGGTATAAAGTTTTATCATGACAAGTTATAGATCAAGTTCAAATTTTGTTCCGGTCTGATGATTTAATCCAGAGTTATGGACCACCATAACTCTGGACCATATCTAATGTTAGAGTACTATGTTAAACCATATTTCTGTACAAAGGGAGATAACTAATTTTTTAAAAGACATTATTTGTTTATTTATTTGAAGATTTTTTTGGCAGGTTTGTTAGTTATTTAGTATAAACTAATTTTCTGAAAGCTAAAAAGATGAATGATAAAAAAGAAATTATGAAGAGAAATCCTTTAATTAGATAATAATCTATTTTTATTATGTATATATATTGCAATACATTACATTGTGTAGATAAAAGTTGTTGACATTTTATAGATAAGTTACAAATCTATATTACTGTGGATTCATTTATTTTCGTGGGTACCAATTTTCGTGAATTAAGGAAAACTTACATGTTCGTGGATACTTAATTTCGTGGTTTTTGACAATGTCTGCATACAAGCCTATAGTAAATTTGTCATTCATTGAACATTTCATTTCGTGGTTAACCTATAACCACGAAATCCACAAAAATTGGTATCCAACGAATAATAATGAATCCACAGTAGTTTGTGACAAATGAAAGAAAAAATATTTGGAACTATTAATTATATTTGATTATAATTTGAAAATAGATATACACTGTATTACATCATATCTAATTTTAGAGAACTATTAATCATATCTAATGTTTTTTTCATCATGCTTATACAATATTGATTGATAATTGGTATATAGTTTTATCATGACAAGTTACAGATCAAGTTAAAATTTTTGTTTCGGTCTAATAATTTTGTGCAGAGTTATGGTCCTTGGACTTGAAAAATTCACTCATATAATCAGTTTTCCACACTGTTTTTAGTCATGCTTGAAGATATTGACATGATATTTACTTTTTGTTTACACCATGGCAAGTTATATAACAAGTTAGCATTTTGTTCCAGTATAATGAATTTTTACCCAGTAGGGGACTATGTATTGCCATGCAATACTCTCAGAAT